AAATCCTGTCAGGTTATATTTATTTGTGTGTTCTGGTACAGCTGGCAGTGAAACTGCTTTGCCTGCCAGCATTCTTGTTAAAATTCCCACCAGCTGAGTCAAGCTATCTCACCAATACACACTTTGACTAGGCTGTCTGGCATTTTTCGGAAAAACAACCTTCCAAATAATGGGAATACCTGGAGATACTATGTTTAAAGACAGACACTGAGAAATAAAATTGCTCCCACTCTTCTGATATTTTGAAAGTCAAGCATACTAAACTTCTGGCCTTGATTACATACACTTGATTTTTAATGGGGTCTTGAGACATGGTTGAAGAATCTGACTGCATTCAACATAGTTATGAAGAAGATTGTTCAAACATGACTGACTACAAACTTAAGGGCATGAGACTGTTAAATGTCAGCACTGCTAATGATGCCTTCAAGGATTTTTTTTTTTTTTTTCTCTCAGAAATATTTAGTTAATGGTCCTTCCCACTGGCTGATTGATTCCTTTGGGCACCATCAGCTGTTCTGGTACTGGGAACCAAAAGTTCAGACTGCTCAAAACTGTTGGGTCACTTTCTCCTTCTTACACAAGGGAAACAAAACAAAACAAATCATGTGAAGATTGCTGGATTGTGTAGGTAACCCAAGCAGTGTGGTAGTGGCCAGCTGTTGTCTTGATTCATTAGAGTAAGGTGTGGTGTTACAGGTGAAGCTCTGGAAGTTCAGCATATCCTCCATAGCACAAAACAAGCTGGGAGATATATAAAGCTGTGGCCAGCTGAAGATGGATGATCACTGCAAAATCAATTGGAAAAAGAAATCCATCATTAAGACTCATATTTTAATGGCATAAAAATCTAACAGAATAAAGAAACCGCTGAGTGTGGCGTGCCAAACCACAAGCACCTGTTTCTAAGGCCTTGTAGAAAGGTAAGTGGTGGTGGCAGATTGAATGGCAGGTTTGAACCCTTCAGGCATGTGGACACAGCTGACTTTTGCGGATCATGTTTTGAGAGGGAAAAGACTGGCATAGCCAGTGGGGTTTCAAATGAATTGCTGAAGGTGTCTCTCTCTCTCTGCTTCTCATCCTGACTTATTATCTCCTTATTCACTTTGTTTTCCCTACCCTACGGTTCCTGGATGTGAGAGTTGGGGAAGGTCTGTGCATCTCACAGTGAGGATTCCTGGTACCTATGTGGGGTATTTCGGGCCTTTGCATTTGGAAAGCAAAAGGACATATAGACTATCTTGCTCTTTACCACTAATCCATTGCCAGGGCTGCAGACAGAAAGGGCCCACAAGTATCACAATTTCTCATCTACATCTTTGTGTACAAGGAAGTTAAACACATCTTCTACTGCCTAAACAGCTGTGTGTATGTATTGGAAGTGAATTCAAAGCTAGCAAGGCAAGACAAAAGTAAAAACTTAGCCAGGGTAGCTTGTGACTAATAGCTACTGGTGCTTGACCCAGTTTTTATTTACAACAGATTCATGGGAAATCTTCTAGGCTTGTTTCAAATTTTAGAATTAGCCCTACATATTTGAACAAGTGAGAAAGATTAGATCATATACCAGAAAGTCTCAAAACTAGGAATTTCTTACAATCCCTTAATTTGTAAGTTTAAAAAATTTTAGTGACATAGTCTGAGTATACCAGTAATGAAATGAGATTTCCCAATGGCTTGATGATAAACCCTCTGCTGAGCCCTGGCTTCAATGGGGACCTAACTTACAAAGTATGTTCTCAAGGAGATCATAGAATTATAGAACAGTTTGTCTTGGAAGAGACCTTTAAAAGTCATCTAGTCCAACCCCCCTGCAATCATCAGGTACATCTGCAACTAGATCACTTTGCTTACAGCCCTGTTCAACCTGCCCTTGAATGTTTTCAGGGATGGGGCATTGACGACCACCTCTTTAGACAACCAGTTCCAGTGTTTTGCCATCATCATTATTAAAAATGTCTTCTTTCTGTCTATTTTAAATCTAGCCTATTTTAGTTTAAAGCCATATCCTCTTGTCCTATTGCAACAGGCCCTACTAAACATTATGTCTCCATGTCTCTCACAAGTACCACCTTTAAATACTGACTCTCAGCACATGTTCATAGGAGAGGTGCTCCAGATCTTTGATTGCCTTTGTGGTCTCCTCTGAACCTGCTCCAGCATGTCCATGTCTGTCCTCACTGAAGACCCCAGATTCGGACACAGCATTCCAGGTGGGATCTCACAAGAGTGGAGTAGAGAGGCATAAGCACCTCCCTTGACTTGCTGGCCATGCTGCTTTTGATTCTTTAGACCTGCCACCTTAACAGACTGCAACAAGGTCCAGGAAAGCTTTTTGAATGTTTTTCTAGTATTAAATGAATGAGATAACTTTAGGAACTCACTTGGAAAATCTGCTTCAGAAACCATTCTGAGCAAACTAGTCTAGTGAAAAGTGTCCCTGCCCACAGCAGGGAGGCTGGAACTAGATGATCTTAAAGGTCCCTTCCAACACCAACCATCCCATGATTCTATGACGAGAACTGATCAGCATGTCCATCATCTTCCAGTGAATGCCTTGATGTGCATTCTTCCTCTGCCTAGTGGATTTGAAACTTATTGAAATGCCATTTTCTAAATGTGGAATAACATTATTCTAACTCTGAGTTTATATAATTTTCATTATTATTTTTGGTGATGGCTATGATCAAGATGTCTGTTATTGTTCTGAAGAAGAATACCATGTGCTTATTCTGTCTTGCTGTTTTTGGAAAAATACATTGAACTCCTCAAATGTTGTTTTTCTCTGGAGACAAATCACTTGGCATATATAAATGACTTTGTTTCCTACCCCAGTTTATGGACAAAAGTTTTTTATCTTTGAAAAGGACAACCAGAAGCCAAGAACAAAGTGTTATTTATGGTTCACATTCTGCCTCCCAGTTAACTCTTTGTGAACAAATACTTAACTACAACAATAAAACTATAACAATAGGTGACTCCTGACAAAGTGATCTGGGAAGTCTATTATACTCTCTCACTTCTTAAAATCATGTGAACTGAAATCTCTTTGGCCTCCTAAGTCAACCTGAACTTTCAGAAGCCATGGTCACATGTTCTTTTTCACCTTTAATGTTTCAGTGATGCTTTTATTGGCGCTCACTGGGAAACAGGGGGCATGGGTTCAACACTGTCCTCCTTTCCTTGGTCTGAGGAGATTTCTTTTTGAGCCTTTTTCCAAGAGATTGCAATAACAGACAGGCACCCCTCCTCCTTATAAATGGACTACTGTTATGCACAAAGAAATGCAAGAGTCTGAATTCAAAGGGCAAGAGAATTCCTGATTCTCTGGCTTAATGCACGGTTTCCCAAATGTCATTTTTTGGCTACCACTGTTGGAAGCGGCTTTCCGTGTTCCCCCAAGAATGAATTCAGGTCTGTAAACATCATCACCTGAACCATTAAAATTTTCTCCCAAGCCCGGCTCTGTTTGCCTAACTGCAGTCCTACCATTCAGCTACACAGCCCCTCACTCCTTAAGACCCCCAACACATAGATATAATCTCTGTATATTGCCCTCTATGCTTTCTCCATCCCAAACTGGTTCTCCAAACACAATGCCCCAGCCATCTAAGGCACATCCCTGCACCCCTATCTCAACAACCCTATTCCCCTCACTTTACCCAAATTACATTTTTCCTATGGTCTTTTCAGAAATACATGTCCCAGACTAATTAATTTCCTGTAGGCACATGAGAAGAACAGCAGGGGAGGTCTGGGAGCTGAAGACAGCTTCACAAATCAATAAGGTACTGGCCAGCCAGTGACAGGAGCAGCTGTGTGAAGGTTTTTACTCTGATTTGTAAAATATCCTTGACACAGGCAAAACTAGAAATTGTTGAGATTGTTTTTGCCTGGCTTACATGCAACACAGTGTGGGAATATCCAGCCTAATGATTCAGGCTTTCATCTGGCAAAGGGCAGAATTTTTTTCCAGTCCTTGATCCTTAGGTCATGTCTGCTTCTTATCCATCAGCTTTGTGCAAAATGCATATGCAGCTTTAAGCATGAAGTCCCTCCAAGCTGCTCCCTCCTGGCTAAGTGTTTAAAGTTTTTCTTTTCTGCAAAGAGCTTTTTTGTCCCTGATTTAAGTCCCATGAAAGTCCATAAGCTTTATTTGAGTTTTCTCAGTAGTACATCAGAGCAAACATCGCTGTGAAGTTTGTCTTGTAGCTAACAACTGCCTTGGAATTATCATTCACTGCTCTGCTGTATTGTTCAGCATTCATATGCTAATCCATTTGTGGGGACTGCTATGCCTGACTGTATGGTAAGGTTTTATCAAATAACAGCAAAATTAATAGTTTGGTTTCTGCCAATTTGATGCAAGATGTCTAAAATGAAAAGCAAAATGTATATCACTGAAAATAATTTTGGAGCATTGTTTATTACTCTCCAAAATATTTTCATCTTTTTAACTGCATTACCACTGATACCACAACAGTTTCTAATTTTCCACTCTGTAAAATAAAAGATTCTTCATAAAGACTGTGTATGTGTATATGTATATGTGCATGTATATAAATATATGCTGATCTTTTCCTTGCTAAATAGATCTGACCATGCCACCCATATACCAGCTGAAATATCATAAACTGCAAATAAATTAAATGGCTTGGGGTTTTAAATAAATCAGTTAATGTTAATCATTATCGTAGAGGGGAGAATGAGAACAATTTCTAGATCTGGATAGGCTGGATCAGTGGGCTGAGGCTGGTTGTGTGAGGTTCAACAAAGTGCCAGGTCCTGCAATGCCAGGCAGTGCCACAGGCTGGGGGCACAGTGGCTGGAAAGCTGCCCACTGGAAAAGGACCTGGGGGTGCTGGTGACAGTGACTGACCATGAGCCAGCTGTGCCCAGGTGGCCAAGAAGGCCAAAGGCACCTGGCCTGTCCCAGCAGCAGTGGGGCAGTGGGACCAGGGCAGTGATTGTCCCCCCATACTGGCCAGTGGTGAGGCCACACCTCAAACCCTGTGTTCAGCTTTGGAACCCCACTTCAAGAAATCTATTGAGGCGCTGGAGCTTGTCCAGGGAAGGGCAGCAGAGCTGATCAAGGGTCTGGAGCACAGGTCCTGTGAAGAGCTACTGAGGGAGCTGCTTAGCCTGAAGGTTTGGTGGAGACCTTACCACATTGTACAACTCCCTGAAAGGAGGTGGTAGCCAGGTGGGGGTCAGTCTCTTCTCCCAGGGAACAAGATACAGGGTGAAAGGAAATAATGTCAAATTGTGGCACTGGAGGTTTAGATTGAGTAGCAGGAAATCAGTCTTCACAGGTTTCATAGAAAGGCTTGACTAGCATTGGAACAGGCTGCCCAGGGAAGCGGCGGAGTCACCATCTCTGGAAGAGAAATGTGGATTTTCAAGAAACATGTGGATTTTACATTGTTTAGTGCTGAGTATGGTGTTGATGTTAGGTGGATGTCTGGACTCGATAATCTTACCTTAAAGGTCTTTTCCAACCTTAATTATTAGTCTGTGATTCACTCTTAAGAAAAGATAGACTGCATTTCACAAACATTTTTCTCAATCACCCATTCTGTTTTTTCTCTTTCTTCCCACAGAAACCTGTGGATTCTGATTTCCTTGAATGCTGTAAATTAGCTCTGATGGAATGGACAGCTCCAATAAAAAAACTCACACAAATTTTCTGAGAGGACATCAAAGGAACTAGAAATAACAGCTTGACTTGTAGGTTCTCACCTGACCCATGACTGATTCTCTGCTAATGCAACACTAAATTTAAGACACCTTTGTATACCAGGTACTGCAATTACTCAGCATGTCACTGTTTATACAGTTACTTTTCTTTATTATCCCAGTACACAGTGAGACAGAGGAATCTAATTTCCATCCAATCGCTTATGAAAACACCCAAATACCATATATTAGGATTTAACCAATTTTATTGCAAGATACTGCAACACAGTTCATTGTATATGACAGCCCAAGCCAGGTTTAAAAAACTCAACCTGTTAGCAGCCCATTCACACTCCACCATCCCCTGCAGCTGCCTGGTTCCACCTGACAGATGAGGGTGAAGTGTTTATTTGTGCTGTTTCCAAAGGGACCTGAAGCTGTAGCTCTCTAACTGCCATCCTTTCTCCAGCTTCGGCAAGTTTCTGCTGCAGTTATTTAAGCTGGAGATTCATTTGCCACCATAAGGGCAAATTTCAAAATGAAATGAAGGTGAAAGCTTTATCCTCACTAACTCCCATAAGCAAGAAGGCTTTTATCTGTAAAGCTTATATAGGGACCAAAGACAAAGTAAACTATGCATTCAAAGATCTTTGAATTGAAAAAAATCCAGATTATTTTTTCACATGTCAACATTTGGCCCCAAAAAGCTGATATTCACCAGTTACACTATGTCAGTCTACAGCTACTTACTTGAAAGACAAACAGCAACATATACGGCACCCAGAAAAAGCTCCAACCTGACACTTTCCTCCTTGCCTCCTATATGGATTTTGGTAATGCAGAAATTTCAGGCTGAGGTCTGCACCTCTACTTGTGCATAATGCATCACAGTGTCACGCTTATTTGCATATGACAAGAGTGTCTTACTGAACTTTTTTTTCCAGATCTGAGGATGTTTGTGCTGCTGTACATTACAAGTTTTGCCATCTACACAAGCGAACAACCTCTTCAAAGCCAGACCAAAGGAGAAAATTACTACACCAGATACATCTGCAGCATCCCAGGTTTGCCAGGCCCTGCCGGCCCCCCTGGAGCCAGCGGATCCCCGGGGCCTCACGGACGCATTGGTCTTCCAGGAAGAGATGGCAGAGATGGCAGGAAGGGAGAGAAAGGTGAAAAAGGGAGCGCAGGTACTGAATATTTGTGTAACCTAACACAGTAGTACAAGAAAACAAGACCTTTCATCATCACTGTTACCATCATCACTATACATATCTATCTATCTATCTATCTATCTATCTATCTATCTATCTATCTATCTATCTATATGTATGTATATATAGGTATATATATATCTATATATTTATATATGATGAGTGTGTGTATGTGTCTGTGTGGGTTTAAGTGTGATGCATATATAAATACAGTAAGAGTATGCACATATATCAGTGTAAAGAAATGTAAATGCACAACCTTTCTTTGCCCGGATGCTAAGAAAAAATTTGGAAAGAATGAAGCATGTGTGATGTCCCACCATTAGCCAGGTGTAAATGATTAGAAGGTTCTTAGGTATGCACTAAAAATGCTCTATTTTTAGGAAATATTTAGTGCACAAGTATGACTACATAGGTAGTCATGCTGCTGTCCCTGCCATCAGTAGTGCCTGTTAGTTCAGGCAGCAATAGACTGATTACATATAATATTCTTTAATGTGTAATCAAGACACATGAAGATAAGTAGGAATTACTGGCATTCCTTTTTCAAACTTACTAGAAAATTTTGAAAGTATTTCTAGATATTTTGAAATTCTGACCATGTTTTTCTTATTTGTTCAGGCGCACACAGTAGCCCACACAATCATTTACTGAAGTGATATGTGTAACGATTAACTAACTTAAAATGTTTTTGAAGGTTTAAGAGGAAAGACTGGGCCCTTAGGACCAGCTGGAGAGAAAGGAGACCAAGGTCAGTCTGGTAAGAAAGGACCTGGAGGACTGACTGGTGCCAAAGGTGAAGTAGGTCCAGCTGGACCACCTGGACCTAAGGGAGATAAAGGAGACCGAGGAGAGCCAGGTGCACCAGGGGTCTGCAAGTGTGGAAAGATAGTGCTGAAATCTGCCTTTTCTGTTGGCATCACCACGAGCTACCCAGAGGAAAGACTACCAATTGTATTCAATAAAGTCCTCTTCAATGAGGGGGAGCATTACAACCCGTCCACAGGAAAGTTCATTTGTGCCATCCCAGGGATTTATTATTTTTCTTACGATATCACCTTAGCCAACAAGCATCTTGCGATTGGGCTGGTGCACAATGGCAAGTACCGGATCAAGACTTTTGATGCGAACACCGGCAACCACGACGTAGCTTCCGGATCCACAGTGATCTACCTTCAGCCAGAAGACGAAGTATGGCTTGAAATCTTCTACACTGACCAAAACGGTCTCTTTTCTGATCCAACGTGGGCAGACAGTTTGTTTTCTGGATTTCTCTTATATGTTGATACAGACTACCTTGATGCTTTATCAGATGAAGATGAGCTCTGAAGCAGATGTCAAATGACATTCAAACTGGAGGCCCCAGCATAGGATTTTATTAATCTGTGTGGGGAAAACCAAGTTGAAATGAAAAAAAAAAAAAAATCTGGGTGTTCATTCTTGTTTTGATTGGAACCAAATCTGAGCTCATAAGAATGTTCTAGAACCTAGGGTGGATTTTTTTTTTTAATGAACAGCAGGGATATCAAAATGAACTGTAATGAACAAAAGACTGCATCACTCCAGGACTGACTCTTTCCTAAAATTACATTTATTATACTATTTAAACAAATTTAAGATACTGTACATTGGATTTTATATAAAATGTATTATTTTGCAATTTAGAATGGCTATTTTGTATATTACATTAAAGTAAAATTGAACAATTCACTGCAATATCATCTTTGGTCATTTTAAGACAGGCAATGCATTAAAAACAGATAGGAGAGGAATAAAATAGGAGTCACTGCTTCAGGATGCCACTGCACAGGTCACAAGACCAGTCTCATGTGATATTTACGCCAACAAATAGCATTCATACCAACCTCACAGTAAGTACGTGAAGATTTGTACTAGCTGAGGACTACTCAATAGCAGCCATAAAACACTAGAACAAAGCTATCAAACATATAAAGAAATTAAAAACTGGAAGATCTGGAAACTTGGAGATAGTCAGTATTCAGTGGGTATTTTCAGTGTAATTCCAAGTGTCTGCTATTCTTTAAATGCTATCTATTATCTTTATGAGAAATGTGGAAAAAAAGTATAAGCTTTTTGCTGAAGATAATTGTGGGTGCCCAAAAATGACAGGACAGTAATCACTAATCAGAGTAAATTATATGAAGTGAAGTGAGTCACATCACTAAAGCAGAAGTTATATTTCAATATGACCAAATGCAATAAATGTAGGTCACAGACAAGATGGAAAACTGCATTCAGCAAATCAATGATCTTGGAAAGGATACATAGGACCTCATGGATTATCACCTAAATAGGAGTAATAAAAGTAGGCTGTTGCTACCACCCTTTGGATGTATGATAAATGGAATTAAAAGCAGAGATGAATAGTGGTTACCTAGGAAGCAACTACTTCTGTTGGTGCTTCAAAAACTCACTTGAAAGTTGCAAAAAAAATGTTTATACTTCTATCCATGGGGATTATACAAGAGATGTAACAAGGTCAATTTACTTTTCTTGTCAATGAGTTTAAGAGGTGATTTAATCACCACCTGTACCCACTTGGAGATAAAATTTCTGGTAGCATCTGGCACTTTCCTCTATCAGATAGGAGCACAGCAAGGTCCATTGGTGAGAAACAGTATCAATCCCCACTGGAAATGGGGAATCCATCTTACCAGTGGCAGCAACCAATCACTGTAAAAATATCTAGGAATATCATGAGTTCTCCAGCATTCAACACCAGTCAAGACTGGCAATCTTTCATTGGGTCCTCTTACTTTCCAAGAATTTGCAATCTTTTATTCATCCCAGATTTACAGAGACCTGCTGTTTCTAACAATTATTCAGATAACGTTAAATGTTAGTGGTCTGTGTTGCACAACTTTTGAGCCCACTTTAGTTATGACCAAGGCAGATGGAAATTTCAGGTTTTTTCTGTGTACTTGATGGATGAAGAAAGTTACAACCAGACAAAATGACAAAAAAGATGCTGCTGAGGTTGCAGAACCAGCACAATGGTTATGTATGGAACATCAGTGTGTGCACACGCACATCATCAGCATTCACAGCTGTGAGTGCATGACTGCTGCTTTGTGGAGTGAACAGGTGCAAAGCCCTGACCACAAATCAAACTGGCAATGCTTGTACAACCGTTATTTTATTTGACAGTGAGAGATGTCTGATAGAAGACAACAGCAGATTATTTTTCTAACTAGACACCTAATTTATTAGTGTCACACAAGGGCTGCTTTCTGTGAAAAATATGGAAAAGAACAGATTTGGTTTATCACCCTGCTGTACAATCATTTATACATCTGCAAATTAAGGACAATATGAGTGCAAAATGCAGTCCAATCATAATTTACAATTATGATTGATGCTGATGCCTCACAGCCATCAGTGCCTATCTGAGGCACAAAGGCCATCACCACTGCCCTGTGCTGCCTGCACTGAATTCCACAGGACAGAACAAGGATCATATCTAGCCCATGACTTCCAGGAAGCATAACTCAAGAGATGCAGGACTGGATCCAGAATATGTATCATGCAGCAAAAGCAACTAAAATAATTTTTTCATCAAATTGTTATCTTATAAAATATGGAAATAGGTTTATGATATTTGAATCAGTATAAACTTTATGTAAGGAGTAACATATTAGTTTTATTAGAATTAGAAAATCTGATAAACCCAGCATTAAGGAAAGAGTATGACTGATTTTCTCCAGACTCCACAGAAATGTATTGTAGTTATAATACATCTGGAAATTTTCAGACAAAACTAATTTTTCTTAATTAAACAGAGGAAATATACAGCTTTATAGTGAAATATTGCTGGTTGCAATCCTAACTATAGGCAAAGTGCTCCCATGTAAAAATCTGTAAAAATGAATCCAGTATAAAAGAGGTATTACAACCACACCCATGTTGAAAATGACACCATGGGAATAAGTAAACCAAGAGTTTACTTTTCTTAGCAATTTTAGATTTATGTTTGTACAATTATAGAAAAGTAAAGCTAATTTCCCAAAGTTTTCCCATTTGGATTCTATGTTTTTTTGAACAGTTTAATATTTTGGCATGAAGAGTTAAAAATAAGTCATCCTGTTAGATTATTTCTATAAATTTTGGCAAGAAGAATACTTCTAATACACATATGGATGACATATGTATATAAGTACCATGTGTCCCTGCCCTCATTAAAGGTCTCAAGACATTATCCTAAAGTAAATAATTGCTATTGCTAGTATATTATTTGAAAATATATCAATTTTGATGACATGATATTGCATTTGGGGCATTTATCAGTCTAAATTTGAATTTATATGGAAAATATCTTGGGCTGATATCTTCCCACAATTCACATCAGTACACGGGGAAGTCTGGTTAGTTTCAAAACATTGCAGGAGTAAAAGAGCAAAATTTCTTCACGATCAAATTTGAAATTAATCAATGATTTCTACACAATATATTGGTCATTCTACACATGCCATAATGACATATAAAATTAGGCATCCAGATCAAACTAGTCATCTAGACTCTGCCTACAGTCCACAGAGGAAATAAGTGCCACCAGGAGAAACTGCCAGGGGGAAGCATGTTTTTATTGCAGTACCAACTCTTGGGCTTCCTGATCAAGGCTGCAAGAATTCTTACAAACCTCAAATGATCAGGAAACCATCAAACAATATTAAGAACATCACTATTCCTGAGATTCTTAACTAAAAGTATATTTATACATATATTTACTTGGGATATGTGTATGTAAAGATAAATAACTAAAAATAAAGTTATTTGAAACAAAACAGCTCTCCACAGTCTTCTACTCTCAGAATTTCTTTATACTTGGTGGAGTGTCATTAAGGAAGAAGTTAATCACATGTTCTACTGCTGAATATTTTTAACCTAGATATTTAATTAAACATTTATCTACATTTTCAAATTTTTATGAGTATGTCACACAGAATAAATGTTTTCACTTTTTTGACTACTGCTATTCATGGTCATACGGTTAGGCTGTTATACAATTTCTTTGGGAGCAATAGGTCCTCAATGTTTTACAGTGCTGAGACAATACAGAGGAAATAATTACTAATGGACATCAGTGCTGAGATCATTATCTACATTCCTCAAATCTTTCAAAATCTACCTAATACCATTTAGGTTCTATTATGATAAGCAAAAATATACACAAATGGAAGCAACTTATTTAATTTCCGACCAAGAATGTTACATTAGTTGTTACCTTCCACAGCTCACCCACTAAGTTCTGTTCATATTCATACACCAAGATATTTACTGAATAAATTAGTTTTCACTGGTTTATTTATTGATTTATTTACCTACTGGCAGGTAATTAATATTCAGAATAATTATATTAATGCTGTACTAACCAGTTTGGTCAGTAGGAACTTCAGTTGTATGTGGAAACGGGGCTTGCTTTGGATATGTCATTCAGTAGCTGATGAGCCCCATCCAAGAAATAATACACGAAAGTAAAAAGGAAAAAATAGAGTTGAGAAAGCAATATACCACTATCTTTACCAATGAGTAATGCTTTCAAGAAGCAAACTAGTCCTTTCAGCATAAACTACCTAGACTTCTGCTCAGAGAGCATTTAGAGGTCATATACATTTTTCTGTAACTCCTTAGGTCAACAACTGAGATTGTGTCAGCATTTCTGAATTTCAGAGGCATAATTCTTTCTCATATCCACAGGAAGAAATTTCAAAATACTGTCACAAAATCCTTGGTCACTGTTACCTGGTTTTGTCCTAGCTGCATACATCAGATCAATTTATGAGAGTTACTACCTAAGGGAAAAGAAAAATTAGACATATTATACATGTATCTTTTAATAGCAAATATTCACAAAGAGAAAGGTGTCTTGGATTATTTGACTCATATTCCTCAATTTTGAGTATAATTTTGGCAGCTACCGCTGGACAAGGTATAAGGAGATTTTTCCTCCATGCAGATTGTTCTTGCAGCAGCAAATATTAGTGTAAAATTTCTCTTACCTGACTTTAATTTGTAAAAGTTCAAAATCACTGTGTGGGTTAAACTAGTTGTTTGCTCTCCTGTTACCAGTGCAAAGAAATAGGTGGGGTAAATCTCTGTTTTGATGACCCTATATTAGAGACTTGTATTAAGAAAGAAGGAATCAGGAGGTACCCGTGTCTTCACATCACCTGCATCTAAATTTCTAACTTAGAGTAGCCTTTAACTTGGAGATGGCAACAGTTAAATAAGATGTCTGCTCTTCAAGAACACTGCTAAGTGGAAAAAATGGCATAATATAATTTGGCAATTAGTATGGTTCAAAATTAGAAAGAAGATGTGGATTGATGAGAACAGAGAAGTACCCTGATAATGATGGAAGTGTCCTCTTGGCAGATCTTCCATAAAATATTGCTCAGGTTCCTCCTGGGACAACTTCAACTGAAGTAACCTGGCTGGTCTCCAGAAAATTTTGCAATATATTAAGATGGTCTAGCCATCGTCTCATGCCTCCAAATTCAATACACATAAGTATATAAAAAATATTGAAATTTTTAAGGATACTTAAGGGAATCCTGGAGTGATTCTACTTACACCAAAGTAAAAAATAATAAATTTGTTTCTTTTCAGCTTTACAGAACCTGTCCTAAATCCTAAATCAAATAAAAAATATAAGGCAGAATTTTTAAAATCATCTCTGTGGTAGGATAACC